TATACTACAATATATATATATATATATATATATATATATATATATTGAAAGAGTGATATTATAACACAATGACTGAAGACAAGTTGTTTTTAATTAAGGATTTATTTCAATACAATACTCAATGAAACAATTTACATTTTACAAAATGTATTTCTCTTGTACACATCATAATCACCATAAATGTACATACATGAATTTTATTTCAAAGGGGGAGCTGGTGGTGAGTAGTATGGGAATGCACATTATATTCGGTTTATTCAAGAGATAAAAATCAGTGCCAGACCGGGTTCAAATGTATTTTGCAGAAAGTTAGTTGTGTTCACATCCATTCATTTATGCCAGGAGCAGGTTCAGATTCAGTCCATATCTACAGTGATAAAGTTCTGTATTGTGTTTTTTATTTTGTGAATATTGTTTTGTGATTCTCGTGAGGGTGCAGTCATTTTTGTGCCTATACACTATACCTCATCCTCTGTCATGTTGGTTATTAGCTTGAGGTGCAGATTAGTTTGAAACATTTCCTTTTTCCCATTTGTCCTTAATTTTCGTCTGTTTGAATGTAATAAACATTTCTTTGAAGGTGTAAATACACTATCTTGTAAAACAAATATACAGCAGTATAGTGACCTTCGACCTTCGTCCTGATGCCGCTTTAATCTGAATATAAGTAACAGCCGTAAACTTACTGTTGAAATGATTATTTGTGTTTTATGTTAAAAACGACTGTAAGAGCTGGAATTTTAGTATATAATAATGCCTACTCATGCCAGTTAATGAAATCAGACATCATTAGCATTTGAAGTCTGGTAATTAATATGTGTGGCAGTAAAAGTAAAATATCTTCTGAGAACATGATTTAGGTTGTTATTGCACTCCTGGCTTTAAGATCTGTAACATAACATCTACATAAACAAGACAGTGACTAATATTTACAAGATAACAACAAAATACTGATTTCAATATACGCATATTTCATCCATTCATGTGTGAATAAAGATAGAACTTGTATGAATAATTATTCTTCATACAAAAGTCAGGCTACTGCATATAAAAAGATATGAAACATATCACACAAGTAAGAGCTCAATTATGATATGAGATGCTTGTGATGTGAAAAGTTGGATGTGTGCTGTAATTCTTCAAAATTACCAACATGTTAGATTTTTAATCTGTCTGTGTGTGTTTCTTAGTGTTGCACAATGTAAATGCACGCATTGTGGCTTACTGTGTACACCGGCATTTATTGTATGAATCCTTGCAATTACATCTAGAATTATTAAGATAAACCTGAGCATTCACAAGTCTTAATTCAATGTATTGCTCTTTAGCTCATAGGTTATAGTGGTTATTTCTACAGTATATTGATTTATGGTGGCATCACAGTAGTATGTAGCTAAACAAAAAAATACAAGAGGAGAAAAAAGTCAGCTCAGAAAAACAAATTCATTATATTTTACAAAACTGGCTTCATAAATCCAGTAAAGTGATTCTAGTATTCTTCACTTTTGCCCTTTTATCAATATTTAACTTCATAATAACAAAGTTAGTCAACATAATGTGAAGGTCTTAAAGGTCCGGTGTGTAACATTAGGAGGATCTATTGGCAGAAACTGAATATTCATAAGTATGTTTTCATTAGTGTATAGTTACCTGAAAATAAGGGTCCTCCTCTACGGACCCACAAACCGCCATGTTTCTACGGTAGCCCAGAACGAACACACCAAACACTGGCTCTAAATGGGGCCTATGTGTTTTTCACAAGTTTCATGGCCACCGTAGTTTCTCCTACAAGCTTGGAAGGGTGAGCTGTATTCAAACGCAATCTGCAACTTGACCACTAGATGCCACTAAATCCTACACACTGGTCCTGTAAAGGTGGGGTAAGCGATTCTAGACAATGTGATTCAAATCCAATTTTTTTTATTTATTTAGTGGATATCTCCTCATGCTCCACTAGCTTTCTGCTGTGTGCTGGCACAAAACTATCTTGTTATTCCGGCCATTCCAGCTAGGATTTGTGTATCAGATAACGTGAAATTACTTGCCCACGGACATTCAGCTAACTTTCTGGTTTGCCAAGATATGCTTTTGATGTGATGTTAGCTATGGTAGCAGGAGAGTTGTCAGTATCGCTGTCTGGAGCTGGTGTGATGGCTCTGGGATGCCCTCTCTGGGTGTTAGCTGCACAGCAGCAACTTTAGCAACAGTTTGCTAACCCACAACATAGCTACATTACTTGTTTGCTCTATATCATGGTATTTGTGTGTATGTTTTAAGGGTTTTATAGCCACAAGACCTAAAAACAGGCTTGCCAACATTACCTTCATTGTTAGCTTAGCTACAAACCTACAATGCTCTCCTCAGTTACTCTAGTTTTATAAAAACAATTTAAACAACTAACTTTGGCCAGTTCCGTTGTGTTTCGGATGCTGTGTGCTTGCAAGTCATTCATGTGATGACGTTTTATAATCTTTCAACAAACTTTCTCTAAAAATCGCGTACCCGACCTTTAAAGACCTCTGTCTGTGTATCTCTGCATAGATACAGCGTATCTATTAGCAAGTGTGATATTGGTAGAGATTTAACAATGTGGGAAGGTTCAGGAAGTGGTTAATTCCTCACTGAAAAAGTTTTAGGTAAGACGGGGAATCTGGGACATCACAGCCTTTCATCCCCATTAAACAGGCCCCGCTGACATCTAGGGGGTCTTTCAATATTGTCATCCAAGAGTAGAAAAAGTGGGAGCAGGGATCTCATGTCCGGGCCATTTTATGAACCCCCGGTGAGTTGTGATAGTTCTGTAGGAGAGAGATGAGAGCAATTGTTAAACACATCTTTAATGTCACAAGAACAGATTATAGATATAGATGACTAAAACTTTACCTCAAATTAATGTATGTAACATTGTATGCGACAATTCTGTGTGGGGGTGAGGAAAAACTAGCATGTCCTCTACTCTTCATTCTTTTTTTCCATGCTATCTATAAATATTTTGTAGTGTCATACGTTTTGACTTTCCAAAGGAAAAACTTCTCACAGCCTGAATATGAATACAGACTCCTTGTACCTGTATGTGGAAGTGTGGGCAATGTCCATATATTGGTGGTGAGTGGTTTATAGATGAGTTATTGTTCTGTTTATGTAGTTATTGCCAGTCAATTAATTTGGTGGCAGAGGTATTGCTATCTGTATTATAGCATTACGACAATTTCATTACATTACAATCAAATAAAATTGTTCAGTTTCTCACCCTCATGGCCGTAGATATCCAGGGCAGAAATCGGGACACTCTGGTGTAGACGCCAGGTTTCTTGGGCATGGCACAGCCTGTTCCCCAGCTCACAACCCCCAGCAGACGATACCGACTGGTCTTGGACAGGCAATCGTATGCCACAAAAGGACCACCACTGTCTCCCTGAAGCCACAAAGGATTAAAGCAGACGCACATTATAACCACTCATTTTAAGCAAGAATAAACAAAACTTCAAACAAATATGAATGTAATAACACATCAAACAAGCAGGTATATGCATTTAAAGGCATTCAGATTACAAGCAGAAAAGCAAAGTACACACACAGACACAAGAGGACATATCAGAGTTCCATAATTAGAAACCCACAAACATAAAAACACTAGCATTTATGCACCAGAACGCATCGACACAGACACACCCTGACCTGGCAGGCATCCGTGCCTCCTTTCTCATAACCAGCACAGAACATACTGGTGGTGATTTGATTGTCATAGTAATCAGGAGCGTTACAGACAGTGTCGCTGATGATGGGGACGTTCGCTTCCTGGAGAACATCTGCTAGACGACCTGTTAGTGAGAAATATTAAAAACTGTATTATATACATATAAAACAACAATATTGTGGAGGGGGTTTAGCTAAAACAGAGCATTTATGTTTCCAAGATGTATCAATTGTCCTTTCTGTCCTTTTAAATATTGCAACTGACATGTTTGTATGTATGTATGTATGTATTTATGTCGATCAAAGTGACCACTGGTGTTTGTTAAAATAGCATATTGATAGGCTTACAAAAAATAACTACAGAAATGAGAAAAGAGGATGAGCTGTCACCAATTTCAATCCAAAAAGTCAAGGAATGCAAATAATGTCATCCAACACATAATTTTATGCATTGTATTACGTTACAGCTGTAATGATACATAGACTCACCATAGTATCCTACATTTCCCCAGCCTGTTACTGTTCCCATCTGCCCATCTATCAGTCTTTGACCGTATGCTGGCAGGCAAATAGGCTGGATGTATTCTACACACAACCACATCAAGACATAAGAAAACACATTTACATAATAATATTTCACCATCAAACACACACATACACACAGTCATCAAAAGTTTACTCGTACTAAAATGCAGAAGAAGCCACTGCAGCATGTGCCGAGACAGGGAGACAACAAAATACAATGTCCCTGATCAGTGAAACCAACATTTGCATGCTGTAATAATAACATTACTTCATACGTAACAGTGAAGATAAATGAGTTTCAGCCTTTCATATCCAAACATTGCATATTAATGCCTGGAGCAAGACAGACCTGTATACAGTAATAACGAACTGAAGCTTTAGTCCAATTTTTAATTTAGCTCCTGTCTTGTTCTCACTCCTGATTATAATATGTAATATCTTTGATTTAATTGTTAACTGTACACAGGATAACTATTCTCATTGGGCTACGCTGTCTACGGGTGAATTAATAAACAAAATATATATGAAACAAGTGAGTGATACAATACAGGTAACGTATCATCCATGAAGGACACTTTACAGAGAGTCATTTAACCTAAACCTGTCCTTTCCGTGTGTTATATGCAGTGGTTGTAATTATGAATGTCAAACACTAGATGTCAGACATGACCTCCTGAAACATTGCTACTACAACTTTATTCTACTGCATAATATGACATGCTGTTAATAAACATCAGTGACTCAACAATTAAACACTACATGTGAGTGTAAATCAGGTTTTATTTATATTTCAGAAACTTTAGCCACTGCCTTGTCCCTCTACATCCATATTTCTGCAGGTCAAATAATGTTAATACAGTATATTTGCATTTAGATATTTGTAATTTCCTCAAAATATTTGCTTACAACCCACTACATATGCTGATTTAGTTTTATTTAGTTAATTTTTAGCTGTGACATACACTGTTAACACAATGCTAACCTCTGTCTCTCTCCTAACCTATAATACCAGCATAAACCACAACCTCCAATCATCCTTTTGCATGCTTCAACAGATTGCAGTATCACAGATACACAAAGACAGATGACTCTTTCTCATTATGAAAGTGTGGATATTTTACTAAAAGAGTCATTGATACCAGGACAGAACAAGAGCATCAGACACAAGAGGAATCAGTAGTTATATCCTGTTCAGTGCTGATATTATTATGTTGAATAAAAGAACTTTTGTCCTGCTGACTCGAATCTGGGAAACAGGAAACCTAAAGCAGGCAAATTACCACAATGACTGACTCTGTGTCTCTTTGACTCGCTCCGTTTCTTTGCCATTCTTCCTCATCTCTAATCACTGTCACCATGCAATCAAATACTAGAGTGTGTAGGGGAGTGTGTGAAGATGAATGTGTGCGCTCTAGTGTGTCCAACCGTTGAAAACGATGGGCTGGGTGAGGGCCAGAACAGCGATGTCCCTGCTGTTGTCATCAATGTTAGCATCTACAAAGGGCAGGTAGCTGCTGTGGTAAACGATGGTCTTCACCTCCGCCACATTGGCGTTGACTGGTTTATTATAGATGGAGCCCAGCAGCACACGCCAGCGATTAACAAAGCGATACCGCCTACAGGGTAAAAGTAGGCGGAAGAAGAAGCAATTATGTCTCACGTGAGTTTTACCAGTACTGACAATATACAGTAATTTCTGTATGAATTCATGCTTGGTTACTTACTCAGGGAAGCAGTGAGCTGCTGAGACAATCCAGCGGTTTGAGATGATGGATCCTCCACACTGATGAACTCCATCATACTGTAAGCTGACCTGCCAAGGCCAACTGCCCTGCCGGGCATCCACACCACCAACTATACGGTCTGCTGCAAAACTACGCCTGCCACAGTCTGCCGAGTAAAGAGAGAGTGACAAAGAGGGAGACAAAATTAAGTTTACTGTCTGGGCATAATGAATGAAAGAACATTTATTAAATACTATTAAATTATTCACCAGATATTTTGACAATCGATTAATCATTTTGAGTCATTTTTTCAGAAATATTTCGAAAGTTTTAGTTTCTGTGAATATTTTCTGATTTCTTTAGTCCTCTGTGACAGTAAACTGAATATATTTGTGTTGTGAACAAAACCAGACCTTTGAGGGCTTTCAACATTTTTCACTATTTTATGACTTTTATGGACTAAACAACAATTAATCAACAAAATGATCAACAGATTATTCAATAATTGAATAATTGTTCATTGTTAGTTGCAGCCCTAAGACAGAGTAAGATAGTGGATGGGAGCATGTGGAAAAAGATGAGAGGTGGGTGTAAGATATCAGAGTATAAAGTGTGCCAGTGTGTCACACAGAATGAGTGCAGATCTTACCTTGGCACAACAGTGTGAGAACCTCCCTGCTCTCACAGTCACTGCAACAAAGACAGACAGAGTTAGTAACAGCCTGACAGAGAAAAAGAAAACATCCAAACTAAGTTACTGTTCAGCTTCCTCTATGTTAACCGAGTAGACGGGTGAAAGAAAAGGCAGGATGAGCAACAGAGAGGACAGTGTAGTAGAAGGTTAGACTGCTATGAGACAGGTGTTTGTTACCATGGGAACAATGAGTCTTTGATTTTCTTGCCGAAGCTGAGCTCTTCCTGTCTGACACAGAAAAACTCCCCGCCATCCCCACTGGCCTCTGGCACTGATGTGACTGAGTAATTCACCACACTAAAACAAAAGCACACACACTTTAGTCCTTTGTCACACCACGCAGCAAGGAAACCCTGTAATTGTAAAAATATCTCACCTGACGAACCCCACTTCCTCACAGCTGATGCTAGCTAGCAGCTCATTGGCTGAGGAGGAACACACCTGACGCCACCTCCTCTGGGCGGAGTCAAAGACTCTGAGATGTTGGTCAGCAGAATTTACCTGGACTGCAGGGAATGATAATGGGGTTACTTTTAGCTGGGTACAATTGCATCAAATGTTTTTTTTTGGTTGCTACTCACAAAGAAACAAAAAACGTACAATATCCTCCTTGGCAGTCAAAAACATTTGTAATTCCTCCTTACTGTACTGTGAAATCTGGTATAAGACTACCTATTAGAAATCTGTGAATTTGAAAGCATCACCTTGTCCTCTCTTACTCACCATCATACAGTCCTGTGTCTTCCTCCATTGTGCAATACGTAACTATAGAAAGGTAATAAAAAACAGCAGGCATTTGTTAAGTTAATGCAATGTATGATACCATATAATGACATATCTTTGATAATGAGAACTACTGGATATGAACTTGAAATGAAAAACAGATTACAGTCATCAGATGTTTGACAAGAATGTATGTTTCAATGTGTGAAAGCAAGTGGTCTGACCTACGGCCCAGACGGCTGCTCCGATGGCTCCCAAGGTCATCAGCATCACACACACTCCAATCACACGGCAGGGGGTCAACACACAGGTCAGAGAGATTCCCCTGCTCCCTGCAGACACACACACATACATGAGTGACAGTGACAGTAGATATATATATATATATGTACACAGAGAGACACACACATGAATGCATACATGCCAGGGCACATATACAGCAGCACTCAAGCTTTTAACATTACGTAGTTACATATTACAATATTCCCACTACACACAGGGGTTGAAGAAAAAAGAGTAAATATAACAACAGTGAACTAAAGTTAACTGTGTTGTGTATGTTTATGTCAATACCTAAGAAAATGATACATGGCAATAGTTCAGACTACTAGTATTTAATTTGGGCTCTTTTTTTGGACTCTTAAGCCACCCTACAATAAACATCAGCACAATAACCAGTATCAGCTCACTGTCCCTATGTGAAGGGGCATACAGCACATTTCCTGGCAAAGACTAAAAAGTACAAATGACACTGATTAGATCAATAGTCTAAAGTCTAGCATTTCTCCACAAAGCAAGAACAAACTCTTAAGCTAGGATATGGTGCCATGTCTGTACCGCGTGCACATACAGTATGTGTGTGCTCCTGCCCCTGTTATCCTCTGCTCTGAGCATAAGTTGTCAGCTTGACCCACTGCTTAGAGTTAATACACATGTTTCATTACAGACATACAATGGAATGAAAAAACGCAGGTGTAATTATTAACAATAATAAATCCATTCCTCTGTCCTAGGTCCAGGGTCCTGGTCGTCACTGTCATGGCTTACTAGGACACTTGTGATGGTACAGAGCCATAATTAATCTTTTTTAGTTCCATATGTGCTGTTCCTGCTTTGACAAGTCTGTTGTCCCAAGTGTGACAGTGAGCCATGGCAGTGTGACAGTGAACCAGAATACATAATAAATTGTAGTATTTACACCTGTTCAGAGCCTTTAAAATGTATGTGTCAGTGGTCAGCAAGACAACACCCATTTGACTTGGCAGGAGAAGCAGGTGTTTCTGACTACATTAAAGCCATGACAATGAACATGATGCACAATGGTAGAGCCCTAATGCAGCAATCATTATATTATGAATTACACCCGTGTGTTTCCAGCCACAACATGTCAGAATGTCTGCTGTAAAAAAGACTGCTGGAGTGACAAACTGAACTTGGGACACACACAACTTTTTGGGGTGAGAATGAGGTATAGGAATGACTTTTAAAGTATTTAAAGACTAAAGTATCAAGTATCTGTCATTTCTATTAAATATGAAAATCATTTTGTTCCTGATAATCAATAGTGAGAGATGAAGGAATAAACAAGGTGTCCATGCTGAAAGGGCTGATGTAACCTTAAATCAAGTGTATTAACATTGGATATTGAAAGCCTGTGTGTTCAGTTATTACATAGATATTGCATGGGACAGCCAAGACTCTAATAGTAATACTTTCCATCAGTGTGCCAGGAAGCAACTGGAGATACTGTAAGTACCGTATGAGTTTCCTATCGAATCAGAGAAAACATTCTACATGCCATGTTTCCTTCCTGCTACTGTCTCACTCCAACATGTTCCCTACTCTCTTACACCTCTAGCTCTCTCACAAAGTTATCACAATTAAAAACAATTCCATTACAATGTTTTGATAATTAACAATAGATTTACCAAATGTAAATGTTCACAGGGAAAATGGTTTGTTCTTCTTGAGGATAGGACCCATTATCAGTTAGTAAAGAGGCATTTGAAATGTTTTCTTTGGACATTAACGGGCCCACCGGGATGCAGAACCAGAACCGTTCCTGCACAGTTACCAACTTAAAGTCATTTTCCTAAACTTATATGTCAACTTGAGTCTTGTGTCTTGATGTAAGTAAAACAACTCAAGGAATGACAAGGAACCAGTATTGTTCAGAACCACTTGGTCCCACAGCTGCCGGATTTCTACGCTGTTGTCATGAAAGGTGATAGCTGTGTAGACCTGCTAATCCAGTGACCTCCTTCTCAGCTATCTCCTCACACCTACTCCCTCCTTCTACACTACAGCCTCTCCCTGACCCACTCTACCTGCACCTTGACTGCATTACCCTCCCTACCTTTCCTTGCCTCCCTTTGTACCCATCTCTTTCCCTCCTCTCTTCCCCTCTTTGTGCCTCTCTTCTCCCTCCCTTCCTCAGGCTTCCCCTCCAGCATGATAATGGTGTTATTGTTCCTTGAGTTGTAAAATTGGTTTCAAAAGTTTAGAGAGATGAAAAGGTTTAAGTGAGAAACTACAAGGAGTATCTGATTGATGCCACAGGACATATTATCAGAGGGACATTCCAGGCTCGTGTTCATTCTTTCAGATTGTAGTTTCCAGGAAATACCCCAACATTTCTGCCACACACCTCAACTCCAGCACCAAAACTGGTGCTGCCCACCCCCCCTAGTTTCCAACTCCTTTCTTCTTCTTTCTTTGCTGCTCTCTTACTGCAAGACAGAACAAGCACTCTATTGTGTCCACTTCTACCTGAGACCACCTTATCCTGTGTGTGTGTGTGTGTGTGTGTGTGTGTCTCTGCATGTGTGTGTTGTGAGGAAGGGCTCTTCTGAAATCACTGTGGTATAATGTGCTGACTAGTACGCTGCAATAGTGAAGGTTGGACAGTTGTGAATGCAGTTCAGATGTTGTATATCTTGTATTACAATAATGCAAACACTGCGTAACTTTTTGCGTTCTGTTCAAAGATTCAGAGTTCTCCACAGCGAGGCAGAGTTTTGAAGTTTGAAGTTCATAGCATAGTTAATTATATAAAAAACAAAAGTTTCTCTAAGACACTGTCACAATACTGTTGTATATGAGTTTGTAAAGTACAAATTCACTTAAGATTAATTTATGTTTAACAAAAAGTAGCACTCAACAAATAAAAGTGTCTTGATGTATCACTGTTTTTTTTACATTGCAATCAACAAACTATCCAGCCACATTCTGACTTCATAGATTGTTGCCACTGTGGTAAAGGCTGGCATGAGAGGTAAGAATGAATCATCATTTACTGAACATAACATACATTTTATTTTGGGTTATTTCTATCCTCATCCATGAGTCACATGACCAGACACTGAAGCAGCACGATGGAAAAGCTTCACTGTCATTACTCATTCTCAGGGTAGTCAGGAGGGATACCCTTAAATTTGCACACATTACGCCCTCCCACTGTAATACCTCACGGTTGAGTAAAAGGCAACAGATGTGTACCACATGGGACAAGGGGCTGTCCACGCCCTCCTAAAACTCACGGAAATGCACAGACAACACACTCTGTATTCAGGAATAATAGTTCATTCGAAATTAAAGACTTAAGCAAATTGTCTAAAGGATCTTTCCAAAAAGGATAATATCTACTAATCTTTCTCAAAGTATTATCGATATACTGTAACTTAACCTTGCCAAAGAATTATTAACAGAAAATGTTTCCTGAGAAGTCATACAAGGTCTGGAACTCTTCTTTCTGAGAGTGTTTTGACAGAACAATCCCAAGTCAAAGGTAATTTTCTTCCAGGGCAGCCAACTGTCTCACACAGTCTTCATCACAAGATAAAGTTTGCTCTGTTGTCATGGAGCTTGGATCTGACATGTAAGCTCAGTAGCTCTTAAATCTTCAGTATCACTTTTATGACTTTTTGTCTGTCTTGGCTTAAAGTTAAGCATTAATGTCCATTCTTGACCTTTAAAATAGTAGTTTGACAAAATAATCCCAGCTCAAGGTTCATGTACTAGCTTACTAGCTGACTGCATAGTCAGCATCTACAGTATTATCCTTTGCTCTCTTAGTGGCATTAGAGGCACTTACATATGGACTATGGGAAACAAAACTACTTTCAAAACAGGAAGATCACACTGGTATGTATCTGGTGCCATTAAAAACAAGACTGAGCTTAATTCAACATACATCCATTCCAAATGAAATAGGAAAAGAGGTTTAGAGGGCTTTCGAATAATATATCCTTCCTCAGTAGACTGAAGTGAACCTAGGTGTGGTAGGAGTGGGATGAGGCAAAGACAACAGTCCAGAAGCAGGAGGAGACCTCACAGGCACACAGATGAAGACCCAGCAGAAGCTATGACTCATGCTTGTAGTGGTTGTCATGGCGGAAACGTAAAAATAAACTCAATCAGCCTGATCTGAAAGATAACCTGCCCCGTGTGACAGAAATGATCGTGTGTGAACTGTGTTTCTCTGCTTGTCCACACACGTATTGTGTATAAGCATGTCACGTTTAAGGTAAACACTGCTTGGTACTGATAATAGATGACGTCCCACCTAATCTAAGCACAGCCATACTCAAAATAACCACACCACATGTGCCACTCCTAGGCTAGACTGTGTTTCTCTTGTAATTATACCAAAGACACAGCCTGATTCATTACATCTGGGTGGACTCCCTTCAGTCAGGCAACAGAAAATACAAAAGTAAGCAGACCGTGTTCATACAGAAGGTAAGAGCACAATGACCAAGAAGACCTGTTGAAGAGAGCAGCAGAAGATGTGAAGATGATGTCAGTTTCAAACTAAAGACGTCACATACTGGGAGACTGCTGGCTTCTTGCTACTGGCACTTGCTTTGTCCCTGCAATGGAAGGTAAGTTCGTATACTGTTGTCTAGAACGGTTGTGGGGTAAAAGAAAGGGGTGAATGTATTGTCTCTACAAAGTTTGAAGATTTGAATTGTAAGAAGTTTTCAGTCCAAACGGTAGATGCAGGCTTTCAAGATACCACAGGAAAACGTAAGGTCAAAATATTTATGCACATCGCAAACACAGGGTTTTTCAGTACACACTGACAGGAATGCTATCTTATCTTTACTTCCATAACACAATTATATACTTATACTGCAGTGAACTCATTAAGAGCCATAAAACCTCGACACTGCCTTACAGCTACAGTGACAGGAGGACAGATGTGGATTCAGTTTCCTTTTAAATGTGGGCTTCACTAATGTTGATGAGAGCGTGTTTGCTGGAATAAGGGTAGGAGAGCTTTATATTGACAGTGCCGTGGTTACAGTGAGTCTGTTTGTTTATGACCACCAGGAGAGTGTGATGTTATTGCATAAATATAATGTGCTGTAAAGTGTAATTTGGTGTAAAGGGCGGTGGTTATTTCTGACCCCACGAATCAACATCCCTATCACAATTCTATTTGAGATAGGACTTAATCTTACTGGATGAAAAATATTACTAACAATCTAAGTATGTGTTTTTCAAGTTGAGAGCCAAACCTCAAAAATAAATCCAGTGAACATAAGAGAGACAGCCAGCAAGCTTTGAACAAACAGTTAATGGTTAACTGTCAAGTGGACTGATGTCTGCTCCCAAATACAGAAAACAGGCAACATGAACTACAGCCTGTCCAGCACAGCATAATCTGTGTGTGGGGGGGGGNNGGGGGGGGGGGGGATAAGAACAACAGTGTATGCAATATGTGCACTCACCCATCTTCCCCTCAACTTTCTCAGCATACATCTGTATACAGTAGGAAGCAGAGGTCAACAATGGACAATGTTCTTTCTCCTTCCTTCCTTTCTTCCTTCCTTCTCTCCTTGACTCCTCAGGGCAGGTGGTCTAAGCCCTTGGCAGTCACCTTTGCCTGGTAATATAACAGTGAAAACAAACCCCATATTGTTGGCAACATTTGTCAAAGAGAGTTTGACAGAGAGACATATTTGAGATTAAATGCAGAACGAGTAGGATTTTCCTAAAAATGTACAGATTCGTACAAACATAATTCCTCTCAGTCATCACTTATGACCCACTAGACATGAGTGGTGGTGTCTGTATCAGCAGAAACCCTGCCCTCTGCCCGTATTTTCTTATTATGCTGTGTTCTGGACGTTTCTGGGCGTCAACCTTTTGGCTGTGAGTATGTAGCCCCCAGCCAAATTTCAAGCATGCATCCAAAATGGAGCTACAAAGATGGCAGACACAGGACACGTTGAGCCGGGGAGGAGGAGCCCACTTTGTTGTTGTGTTTACAACCTGAAATCCTACTCATTCTGCCTTTAAGTTTAAAAAACACGTATGAAGTGACAGGACTAACTAGTTTGCCACAAGTACGGTCTAGAGCTGCTCTATTTGGAAAGTGTCCTGAGATAACTTCTGATATGATTTGGCGCTATGCAAATAAAATTGAATGGAACTTAATTAATAACTAACAATATTGCTTATATTTTTTTATTAACATAAGTACAGGTATGTTACAGCACATGTTTCAGTCTTTGTGTTGAGTTAATTCACTCACACACACACACACATATATATATATATATATACAGTACATATACACTCATGGCCCACCCCTCCCCTCCTAACAGCCAAGTCAGCTAAAATCATCTCATTATGTAACTGATTATTTCTAAGATGTAAAACTGACAATGACAATACAAATGATACAAATGCATAAACTCTATATAACAAATGACTCTGTGTACTAACTGGGTTGCTTTTCCTGATATGTGTACCTTCATTTTCCATGTGTACGAGCTTCTTATGCCACTAAATATATTAGACCTTTGTCTCTATCACCAAAGGTTAAACCAGTTACAGTAATGACTGCAAACAGGAGGACATGGAGTCATATGGGAGCACAAGGGAGTAAGCTGAGTGTACCTTCAGCTTAGTGACTTATTTTAGGTGTATCTCCTATACAAAACAATATAGAACAATGTTTAAAAAGCATATAAAAGTGTTATGATATGTGAATGACTTTAACATTGATTTAAAGAGTTAGAGTCTCTATACAAAGGCCTGGGGACAGACATGGTTAAACAGACCAAAGAGCATTAAAAAGAAGTTCACATTGTAATGTTGAAATAATTAAAATTGTCCAAGTGGCCTACCTCATTTTACCTGCTAGTTTTTTAGCAGTACCGCCTATAATATTGTTTTTAATGACACCGACATTAATCTACTGGCTAATAGTTTTCAGAGTAAGCATAAAAGTCGCCTTCCAGAAAGTGACTCACCTGTGTTTTCTTGCAGTAGGTGGAGCCCTGGCCTCCTCCCTTAGAGATTAATATTGTTTTATATTTTAAGTCCGAGATTAAAGATTAAAAAAAAGCCTCGAAGACAGGCGACAATACAGTTCAAACGCCACCACAGATAAAATCCCAGTTTTCAGTAAATCCCTTTTTTTCTCCTTCTTTTTTTTTTNNNNTTTTTTTTTTTTTTTTGCTCTGCTCACAGGTTACTGACCCCACAGAAAGAAGGACCAAAAACAGTTTTCAGCGACCGTTTTCTATCAGCCAAAACCACCGGCACCGGCTCCTAACAGAAAGGAGACAAACATTTGGGAGACTGGACTAATTGAAACAAAGTTAGTGTAAGTTTATCCGCAGTCCGTCGGGCTGTGTGCTCGTCCTGTGCGCGCTCAGCTGCGCAGACAAGAGGGGCACCAGTGACGTCAACAGCACGTCCCTGAGTGGACACACTGGGCACGAGAGCTCTCGTACTGGCTGTCTGACCCCCGTGTACCTGCTCCAGGTGAACACACTGTCCTACAGGCGGGGACTGTCCTAATAATACACAACTTAAGAGGGAGTTGAGCTGATTTAAAGATGTCTGCTGTGATTTTGGTATATTACTCTCAGTTAGTGTGATGTCTCATCTCCCTATCTGCACAGTCAGAAAACACACACAGAGTGTCCCCCAACCAACACCTAAACACACAGGCCTAGACATATGGTAGTTCCCTTTGGTGACACAATCATGACCTTAGTTCCCTGTTAGCAGAAACAAATAAAAAGGGAAGCTGGACCATCTGATCTGTAAGTGTTAGTTCTAGGAGACACTGACTGAACTAGAGAGCAGAAGAAGGTCCCAGAGAGGAGAGAGAGGTCTGAGCACAACAAAGCAAGCAAACAGCCGCAGCAGGAAGGGATGAAGATGGGTGGAGGAGCTGCACAGAGCTGCTGGCTGCTGCTCACACTCTCTCTGAAAGGTAAGAGCTGAAAGTACCGGCAGCATTCAGGATTTCATGCAGACATACACATTAACACTGTGAAGATAAGCTGACACCATCGTCTATCCGTCACACTGACTGAACAGAATTTATTTCAAGTGCTGAGCTTCATTCTTAGAGTGACGTTATAGAAATCACTGAGGTGATCACAACTGCTTAGAGGATTATTTCAGTGGCAAATGTACATCTGCACTAAGACGTTGCTCAAAATCATGAGAAAATTCTGCGGTAAGAAGTAACATTTCTCTCACTTAAGGGCAAGCATTACCTGTGGAAAGCATTAAAGTACAGTCTCTCTGAGCAGACACATTTCAAGTATTAAAAAAAATAAACATCTGGTAAATACAATAAATACAATGTAGATAATTGTAACAGTAGCTGTTTTTACTCTGTCTCTGGGTAATGTTTTTTAACACTGACAATAGGTTAGACACTAATATAGTAACTTCATAAGATAAACATCTATTATCATTCATTTCTGGTGTATTAAGTAAATGTATAAGTTTTTCTTACAGCATATTGCAACTGTGAATTATTCTACCTTTATCTGTAAAATCAATTCATTCTTGAAGACAGTTTCCACCTTTTTAATGTAACTTGTGGTTATAGCCAGTTGTTATATTTTAACCATTGATGGTATATAGATTTTAACACACATCCTCTGCTCTTCAGGTATTCTTGCTGGTGATTGGTCAGTTCATCTCCCCTCCAGTCCTATCTGTGCTGTGATTGGTTCCTCTGTGGTTCTCCCTTGTTCCTATGACTACCCCCAAAGTCCTAATGAAACCAGGGAAGAGGGGCAGCTTTCTGCTCAGGTAATGAAATAAAGAAGGCATTGTTAGCAGTTGCAGTATATCCTGCAGTGTGTCTTCCTCTGCCAGGGCTAAAATCTGTAATCACAATGAACAGAAACGAGCAGCTACATGGGGGTTGATTAAGGGTAACTGAGTTAAACTATTTTAAGCTTGCAATTTAAGTTTTGGGAGTGGTTTAGACTACAGACCTAGAGCCATGTTAACATAAACACAGCATCTGATATATCACAGTACTTTAAAAGCTCCTTGTTTTGTATCTTTAGCAACTCTGTATATTTTTTTCTATTAGGGCGGAGGACAACAGTACAAAGTTTTGTCTGAGATGTGGTGTCTTGAAGACAGCCGCTGTATCACACAAAGGTATTGTTTGAGACACGCACACACACAAGACCAGACCTGTGATTAATTTTAGCAAAGAACTTACAGCACAGGGTTTAACAAACAAAGTATCTAAGTCTGTCTGTCTGTCCGTCTCAGATATGTCTTCCACAGTGACGGTATCTTCCCAGATCCATCCTACCAGAACAGGGTGGAGTACCTGGGACAACCAGGGACAAAAAACTGTTCTCTGAGGATTTCTGATGTGAAACAGTCGGACAGTGGAGCATACGTGTTTTACCTCATCACCAGCCACCCGACACAGAAGATGCCAGAGCAGAGAGGTATACAGCTGCTGGTGGCAGGTGGGAACTTTTCATTTACAACTAATACTACAACTTATTATTGATCATCACCATCGTCATAATAAGGACTGTCCTCTTTACCAATGATCATTAACAAAGTGATCAATCTGTAGTTTATCATTTGTAGAAATATTAAGAACGTAGAAACATGAAGCTGGAATTTGAAATGGTAACAACAGTTACGTGATTAAACTAAAAATTAATATAAAGAAGAAACAGTGACAGTTTGAACTACAGTGGACAACCACAAAATCTTTGTTTATATTTCCTTCCTCTATGTTCTGACTGTTTTTGTCCGTCTTTGTGTCTCACGAACTGGCACGCCATCTAACTGCCTGTCTGTTGCTCCATGCCTGTCTGCCTGCAATAACAGTACTGAGTGCTGTGTTTAGTAATATTTGTTGAACAAAAATAAAACTACAATATTTGTTAACTTCACTGTAATTACAAGCGTTGATGTTTTAAGTATCCACCACTTCCTTTAAACAACCCTCTGTTTGACACATTGGGCTATTTATGAGAAGTGGAACTGAAACCGGCCACTGTCTGCATATAAACGAACTATAAACTCAACTTGACATAACAATCAGTTCCATAATGTCCACTGGTGTTTGGAACAAAATTAAACTCAAACATGTGAGGACAAACTGTAACATGTCTTTGCTGGCGAGTTTTAAAAAGGGGATTTAGAGCCATTTAAGGTATTAGAGCATATTGACAAGAAATCTAATTTTGCGTGTGTAGGTGTTGGTGTCCAACCACAAGGCACGTCTAAAGACATTATTGAAAAATGTCTGGATGAAGTCACACTCTTTTCTTGTTGTTTACTGTTGTTTTTCCTCTTTGTTGCCATGCTGTGTCATCCTTTGTGATTCACAAAAGCCCCTTGAGTACTGGCAACCTGTAAGAAAAACAAAAGAACAAAAATGTTGTGGATATACATATATAATAGAAATTAATTATCAGATAAAAGTTTGTATTCAGACTGGGTACAAATTGTCACATCACATTGTGTTGTTCTGTACAGGATTACACAAACATTCAGTTAGTTAAACCCACTAATGTGAGCGTCAGAGTTTCTCTCAAAACATTAAACATAACCTTTTAGTATGAATGTTAAATGAACAAAATCAACCTGGAGGCCAGAATTTAGTATTTTATGGTCGTCTAGTCCCCACAGAGGTTTCTGAGAATATGGGGACCTGCGTTTTTTTTAACCAAGAGCAGGGCCGGCTCTAGGCATAGGCGATACTAGGCCGGTCGCCTAGAAGCCGGCCATCTGCTGGAGGGGCGCCGCCGCCAAAAGTCACCCTAAATAATAATAATAACTAATTTTGGATCACTGGCGTACCTTCTGTTCTGTCTTGAAAATAATACATATTAACAAAAAGGGCACCAAATGGGCTAGAGCCAGCCCTGACCAAGAATATTACAGAAACAGAAACAACAGAAGAACAAGAAGAACTGCGTATTTCTTGTTGGATAGACAAGAAGAGATAGAAAAAGAGCAGCTCAAACAACTGTTTTTAAAACCATGTAACAGTTGAAGAAATTAAAGGGGAAAATATCCAAAATGGGGTTAGTGATATTGCCTTGCTAACATACAGACAGGGACAGTAAGTACAATAACCACCTGTGTCCTTTCTTAACTCTTTTTCCTGCAGAAGCATCCAGCGCAGTCTCAGTGTCAGCAAGTCGCTCCAGTGACATCACTAAGGGCGAGGCATTACATCTGGTCTGCTGCAGCCCTGCGGCCGGTCCACAGGCCCGTTTCAGATGGTACAAGAGCACGGGCACCAGCCCAAGACACACTGGACAGGTGTGGGACATCAGTGAGGTTACGTCTGATGACTCTGGCAGCTACTACTGTCAGATACAGACTGGAGATAAAGTGCAGAACTCTACAATGTTGCCCATTGATGTAGAGTGTAAGTAAAGTTTGATCCTGTATACAAAGTCAAAGTCAAAAAGTCAAA